ACACTTCAGACACCAAGGGCTCCATCTCCAAGCTCACTTTGTTCTTCATAGCACTGGGACTTGAAAGACACTCACTTCTTTAAGAAATCCTTGGAAATTAGAGAGATAAGACCTCAGCTTTAGGCACCACTTCAGTGACAGGACTCAACAGGCCCCCAGCCTGCAGCAGGTCTGTGTGTAACATCACAAATTCATTTCTCTCCTTGTGTCTAGAGCTGTTGACGCAGGGAATTAAAATCAAGCTGTGCCTTCCACTTTCATTTTTAATGGGACAATTCGTGGCTCCAGAGAGAGAGAGAGGGATCAGCCCCTGAAGGGTGGGAATGGTGGGGAGAGCAGTCATCTCCTGCCAAAGACAAGAAAAGCAAAAGGAAAGAGAGGGAAGGTGATGAATGTTTCAGCCTCCCCGGCTTCAGGAGCCTCTTCATTAACTGCTTCACTGCCTCTTTCTTTTTTTCTTCCCCCTTTTTTCTTGGGTGTTTTGTTTTCTTTTCCTCCTTTGGCTCCATGGATGTGGCTCTCTCTGCCTGCAGCTCTGGGTGAGCCTGCATGTGGTGCCTGCCTCTGGTCCCAGCTCAGGTGTCCATCCCCCTCACCTCTCCCACCCCAGGATTCAATGAGGAAAACAACCAGGAGGTGGGTTTACATTTCACACCAACCACGTCACCTGGGGACACCTGCAGCCCAGGGGACAGAGCCCACCTGGTGCCAGGACACCCACAACAAACAAAATGCACCATGAAACCCACGGAGCCAAGGAGGACACTGCTTGACCCAAGGTGACCTCCTCAGTGTGCTCCTGGAACCCCATCCCTGATTTCTGAAGCTCACTGGAAGCCATTCAAGCCCTGGGGATTCTCCTCTGTCCCCTCCATTGCTTGGTCTTCCTTCCACATCCCTCTTCACCCCTTAGAAAGCCCTTGCAGAACCCAAGAACCTCAAGGAGCTGCTGTGGGTTAGGATCTGGTCCCTTCCTTGCTGCTGGACAGGACAGGGCACGGGTGGGACAAGATGAAGGATTGATGGCTCCATTTCACAAACTGAGGGGAACCAAGACGTGGAGACAGAGTCCACCACTTGCTCAAGGGCAAGGACATCTTGCCATCTCCATCACAAGTGTGGTGGGCAACAGAAACCCCCTGAAATGGCATGGGAGCTACAGTCCTGACTGCCCGTGCAAGCTGGGCTGGTTTCTGCTCCACAGGGCAAAGCAGCCAGTCCCAATGAGACCATTCCTGTCCTGGGGTGGCTCTTCTGGGGCTGGGACTCCACCAGACATGGTGTCCTCCTCCCAGCAACCTGCACCAGTCCTGCCTCAAACACAGGATCTAACCCAGGCCCAGTGTCCTGGCCAGGTCTCAAGGCAGAGATACTGGAGTGCAGATGAAGCCACCCGAGCTCTTTTCCCGTAGTGTCACATCTCCTTGGCCACCTCTAGGACCAGAATGGGCCTGAATGAGCTCTACTACATCATCAGGACCTTTTTCCTGGGTTGAGGCTATTGTATCACCTGGATGTTTAATTCCAAGGGGGTCACCACAGCAAAAGGAAGCCTGGGAGATGTTTAAACATCCACACACACACACTCCTACACCCCCTCACCAGCTCTGGCAAGAGTGAAAGTGCCCAAAAAGCCCAGAGACTTCCTACTTATTTCACAACAGGCTGGATAACGAGCTCTCAAGATCTGCTGTTTGCCAAGTGCCTGGTGTGCAGGGACCTCAGAATGCTTGGCAAGAACATTGATGGTGAGGAGATGCAGCAAGGGAAGAGCAGCTGCCCTGAGAGGTATCACTGGAGATGACTCAATTACCCCAGCTCAAGGTCTCCCCCATGTCCTCTGCACAGGACCTGGAGAACCTCAGTGCAGGAGGAAAGCCAAGACTAAAGCTGGAGAAAACGTTTGTGCCATGGGAAGGAAGGCACAGGAAGATGCTCCCTGGGGTGTGGTGGGCTCTCCATTGCTGGAGGGTTGAAGGCCACAGGGGCAATTGTACCAGGGCAGAGCAAAGAGCTGGCACCAGGTCCCATCAAGGACTGGGTTAGAATCAGAAAAGGAGCTGGCCTTGGCTCCACCTGTTCTCTGGAACATCTGGATCTTGTTGCTGTGGACGCCAGATAAGATGGACTCAGAAGATGGACCCCTCCTGTTGTCCAAGATGTTATGGGGATTAGAAGCATGGTTGGTCTCTCCAGCATGTACAAAGCAAAGCTGTTTGAGGTGGTCGTGTTCTCCTGAGCCAGCCAGGAGGTTCTTCCCTTCCCCATTTCCATCTCACAAACTCTGCTACGTGGATAAATGAGAACTGTGCACGTTCAGTTCTCCACCAGCGTGTTCTCCAGGTGCCCAAGCTCACAGTGAACTCCTTCACAAAGGGGAAAGCTTCACTTGGGTGAACTTTAAGCTCAAGGAGTCATCAGGGACACTTGGAAGTTTTCATGCTCAGCTCAGGCTTTTTATGGGATTTCAGGTGAATGGGGTAGGAGGGCAGGAGCAAGGAGACAAGCTGCACTCGAGGAGCTGCTCCCTGGAAATCCCAGCCACGATTCAGATGGCTGATCATAGGATTTCCTGGTCATCTGCTGCCATCTAGTGTCACCTGGACACTCAAAAGCCCTCTCTGGATTCATTAATTTCTCTAACCAGTCCTAAATCCTTCTCATCCTACAGACCAGAGGCCACGTCTTACATTTGTGGGTGTCCATGAGGTTGGATCTCATCCATCTGCCCTCCCTGTGACCACCTCAGGTCAGACAGAGCCAGCCAAGTTGCTGTTGTGCCCCATCCCTAACTAACAACCTAACCTAACATCCCTAACTAACAACCCCCCTGTACCTCTCCTCCCAGAGGGAACCCATCCTGCAGCTCAAGGCCAGAGGAGCTGGGTTGGTCTGACCCTACTGGAGACAAGAGGAGACAAAGGGGAGTGAGATGGTCAGGGAGGTGACCAGGCAGGAATCCAAGCCCAAGGACACTGCATGTTCTCCTTTAGCTCCTGGCCCACAGGTGGGTTTTTCACTCCAGCACTGTCACCCCTCACTTTGCCAGTCAATGAAATGGTCCAACCCATGGAGAAAAGTTTTTCCAACTGCTTCATGGTTGCAGCAGCTTCTCCAAAACTTCTCTGACTGTTTAACCCACTTCTAACACCTTTGCTGGACAGCAGAAGGGAGGGCACTGACAGGCAGGGAGCAGGGTTTCCCTTCTCCAGGAGCTCTGTAGGCTCTTCCTCAAGTCTGGCCACGCCAGAAGGTCACTTGGGAGGTGGCTGAAAAGAACACGACCCTGAGAAGGGTGTAGGGACCAGTTCATTTATCCTGCCCTCTTGAGCTCCCCTCAAGTCTGGCCACGCCAGAAGGTCACTTGATGGCTGAAAAGAACACGACTCTGAGAAGGGTGTAGCGACCAGTTCATTTATCCTGCCCTCTTGAGGTCATCTGAGGATGATGCCATGAAGTCCCTTTCAACCTAAATGACCCAGTGATTCTGTGACTTGTTATCAGAGGAGCTGCTGGATCCTACATCCACCAACCAAGAAAGATAAGGGGTTCCCAGGAACACTTCATAGAAGGTCCATGGGCATGACCAGAGACTTCAAAACAAACCCTGGTAGCCTGAACCACAACCTGCAATTGGTTTGTAACCCTGGGGAGAGTGAAACACCAGAACAGGTTCCTGAGGGTTGTCCCTGAGCCTGCATCATCAACACCCTTTACCTTGGTTGGACACATCTCAGAAGGATTTGCCCTTGGTCAGATGGGATCTACACCAAGGTAGCCAAGATGGAAGGAATTATTTAAGGGCCACCTGAAGGGGTGCCTGTTTGCAGTGGTGTGGTGGGACACCCACAGCCCCTGGGGGGTAAAGCTTCAGGGAGCTGCTGGGCAGGAAAAGAGCCAGAGGAGCCAAGGGGCTGTAGAAAAGCCTTTGTTCTCATCTCAGATCCTGGCAGAGCCACATGTCAAGTCACAGGAGAGGGGCACAACTGAGCAGGTCAACAGCACCATTCATCTGAGGATTGTAAAGCCCTTTCAAGACACCAGTTGGTTAAACCTCACAACACCCCTGTGAGGTAGGTATGACCCCCCGTTGTGGTGGCGGGGGAAACTGAGGCACAGAGAAACGCAACGGCTCGGCCAAGGCCCTTGGGCCAGCCAATGACACGGGCAGGAGGTCCTCCTGCTCTTGTTCCCTTCCCTTGGTGGGCAGCAGAGTGGTAGCAGCTCACAGAGCCACTGCTGGGCCTGCCCCACGAGCAGGGAACATGCCATGTGTTTGGGGGGCTCCTGAGCCCCCTGGAAGCACCCTGGTAACCAGTTGCCACCAGCACTGAAGATACTGAACCATTTCCCAGGCAGCTTCTCCTTCCAGATAGGTGCCCCAGGACTGTCACTGGTTTCCTTCCCATGCAATCAGGGCAGGAGAACCTGAGAACTTGGATCCTTCCTGGAACGTATCCCAGCGCTGCACGGCACAGTCCAAACTGGTTCTGTGATGGCAAATGTCTCCCCGGAGGCAATGCCCAGCATTGAGCTCTGGTGGCAGTGAGTGGTGGAGGGGGGAGGTCTCACCAGGCCTGGAGGAGGTAGCTAGAAGTACATGACATGGCTTTCACTGCCACTGTCACCAGCATCTTCCGTTGGATGGTCACTTGAGCCCAAGTCACCCCTTCCCAGCCCATGTGCAATGTCAAGAAGGAAATAAAGCTGGGGGATAAACTGGCCAGGAAGTGATGCCAGGAGCTCTGGTGGAGTCTCCATCGTGGCAACCCCACCACCAACCCACCACAGCCCTTAGTTATGTCATGGTACCCAATTTCCCCTCTCCCTCCCCCCACCACCAGTTTTTGTGCTGGATGCATCTTCTGTCTTATAAAAATAGTCCTCTGGTATCAAAAGACAAGTAAAAGAAGAGAGGAAGGGATGTCCCCTGGTGCCAGCAGCAGTGCAAATCAGGAGAGCCAGCTCAGGAAAGGTGGTCCTAAGGTGTCCTTGGTTTGTCACTTCTTCAAGGGGAATGAGGTTGATTGGACTTTGATGGCTGGGACTGGCCTGGAGTGAGGAGAAAGGAGACAACTCATTCAAGTTCAGAGACCAAGCATCCACCACAACCCTCCCTCCATGGCTGGGGGAAGACAGAGCAGCTGCTGGCCCTGGGACTGCCTTGGTCACCCATGTCCTGTCTCAAAGATACAAGCCCAAATCTTACCACTTTGAGGTGTTTTCCTTCAGTGCAGAACCTCAAGACCCTGATGGAATGCAGAGCCCACCACAGCATGAGGTGGCACTGGGCAGAAACCAGCAGTGTGAATGGGGAGCCCACCAGCTGCAGGGGTGATGTCCCCAGGGGGTAACTGATCTTGGCTTTCCAAGACAAAGCCAAGATGCTTCGTGCACTACCAAGAGACATCAGCAAACCAACCAACCAGATATGGAACCTACAGTCCACCCTGGGAATTCATGAAACCTGTCACCTCATCCATCCAGGAAAAACCAACAGGTCTCTGGCCTTCTCCTTGCATGTTGGAGGTGTCAAGGAATGATTCCAGACCAGGACACAGGCATGTCCTGCTTCCTGCCACAAGTGCCTGTCAGCAATTTCTGACATGGGCACCATTTAAAGAGATGATGACCAAGGACTTGCTCCTGGAGAACAAGGGAGTTTGGGGAGGGAGCCAAGTTGGGCTGCTGGGACCTGCCAAAACCTTCTGGCACCACAGAAAGGCCTGTCCTGCCTACTAGGAGAGATGAGCTACAGGGGTTGAGTTACACTGAGAAATGTTGGGGCATATTCAGCCTCCTTGTGGTGACAACTACAAAGACACAGGAACCAAAAATAGCCCAAGAAGGTCAAAGCAGTAATTAGCAAAGCAGACAGTGTGTGGATGAGGGCCAACTTCAGCCCCTGATGGTGCCTTCTCTCCATGGTTCAATGTGGCCCACCAGCCTGGCCAGCAGGAGCAGATGCAAGCCCTAAGGCTCCTTTGGCCTGTTTCCAGAGGGTTGAGCAAGAGCTGAAGGTGGCAGTGATATTGTGAAGGTCTTGGGCTGAATCTCCCAGCTCCAAACTGGCAAGTCCATGCCCTCCATTCCCTTGGACACGAGTGCCCAAGCTCTCCTATTGTTTGGGCACCCAGAGGGGCTATGTCCTGCTCATCTAAAAGCCTCTGGGAAGGGGGACATTTAACCCTCAGCCTCCTGAGGTTCACCCTAAGCCCAGAGCTTAACAAAAGGCCACCCCCACACAGCAAAGAGATTCCACCCCAGGTCCTTCATGGTGTCTGGGACTCACCTTTGAGGTGGCATGGGTCTGTAGGGAGGAGAGATGAAAGAGAGCATCAGTGTCCATCCCTTCACTCCACTCTCCCCAGCAGCTCCCCAACAGCCCCTTCCATGCTGTGGGACAAGTGGCCACGTGCACCCACCAAAGGATGGCATCTCCCTTAACCCAGCAGGACCCCATGAGACCCCAAGTCCCAACCTTAGTCATCCCTTCAGCCCAAACCTCTGGGCTCCTGCCAGGGGCAGAGCCCAGATCCCCACCAGTACTTTGCTCTGGTGAGCAGCCTGTTCTTCTGCACCGTGCCAGGAGGAGCAGGGGAACAGGGTTGCTCACGTATGTGAAGTCCCCATCTAACAAAAGCTTTGGTTGTGGTTGCTCCTCAGGGAGCAGGACTTGGGACACCTTCTGATTTCCTTTCTGCCTGTTGCTGCTGCCCCTCATGCCCCATACCAAAGATCCCAAAAGGCCTGCAAGCTTAGGGACCTCCAGGCTGGTGGGCTTCAAGCTCCTCTCTAGCTACATCAGGGGGCACAGACCAGCACAGCCCAGAGCAGAGAACATTCCTCCTGCTCCTCAGCAGCCATAAGAGAACCCCATTTGGGTTGTCCCAGCCAGATGTGACACACAAGACCCTGCAGGACCCCAGCAGTGGTGGGCAGTGTCTCAGCTCCCCTCTCAACTTACTTCAACGGCCTCCTGGGGTGGCTCATGGCACTGGTACCCGATGCCTTGAAGTTGGTAGGAGGGACCATGACCAGCAGGGTCTGTCCATGTGCAGGAGGCACCTCTTTGGCCAGAAGAGGAGTTCCAGGCAGTGGACGACGGGGAGGCTGATGCTTTGGGACAACCTGGGAATCACAAGGTGTATGGGAAGAGGGGACATCCTTAGAGGAGCATCCTACGTCCTCCTACAAACCTCCCTCCTCCTGCTGCTGAGCTGAGATGCTCAAAGCATTCAACACCCAAACTGCCTCAAAACAGCCTCATTATCTAATGACCTTTCTTCCCCACGGCAACAGATTCATCCCTCAAGCTGATGTGAGAGCTCCTTGGCAGTGCCCAACCCAAAAGAGCCAAACCCCAGAGCATTTCTAGGAGTCAGGAAAGCACATCCAGCCAGGAAAACTCACCAGGGGGGTCCTCACAGGGCTGCAGGGAAGAGGCTTCCTCGGAGGTGGCAGCTTAGCCTGGGAGACCAGAGTTTTGGTGGGGACCCTGGGTGATTTGCTGACTGGTGGAGGTGGCCTGGCTGGTTTGGGCTCTCTTGGGCGAGGGGGGATGGAGTGGGGAGCCGGGCGAAGAGGGTGGACAACGTTGACAGGCTGGGAGCCAGGAGGGTGAGCACTGGGCTTGGGGGGAAACGCAGCTCGAGGGGCCTGCAGGGATGAGAGAAGCAGAAGTGTGGAGAAAGTTCTTAGGTGGGTTTAAAGGGATGATGTCCCTTCAAGGTCTCAGTGCTTGGGAGCTACAGGAGGAGCATTGGGTATTTATTCCACCTCCTGGGACCACCACTTTTACCATCCCACCCACAAGCTGAGCACATTTTGCTCCTCCCTGCCCACAGGAGAGCACACAGGGATGATGGGCTCAGGAGGCCTGGAGAAGGGCCAGCCCTCATGAATCCATACCAGCCTGCCACCAGGCTGACTTACCTACATGGGGACACCATCCCTTCTGCCTCCAGCTCAAGCACCTTGGCCATGCTCAAAAAAACTCCATCACTTTCTACCTACAGGCAGCCCAAGGCTTATTCATCTCAAGGTCACCAGAGCTGACACAACCAGCAGCAAAATCAGAATTATAGAATCCTAGAATGGTTTAGGTTGGAAGGGACCTTTAAGATCATGCAGTTCCAGCCCCCCTGCATGGGCAGGGACACCTCCCACCAGCCCAGGTTGCTCCAAGCCCCATCCAACCTGCCCTTCAACACTGCCAGGGATGGGGCAGCCACAGCTTCTCTGGGCAACCTGGGCCAGGGTCTCACCACCCTCACAGAGAAGAATTTCCTCCTTGTGTCTCACCTAAATCTCCCCTCTTTCAGTTTTAATCTATTACCCCTTGTAAAAAGCCCCTCCCCAGCTTTCCTGTAGACCCCTTCAGCATCCAGTCCCCTGGAGACCCAGCACAAAGTCACCCAAGGGACTGCAGAGCTTTGCTGTGCTGATGGGCAATTTCCCAGCAGAGGCTCCTGGCAATCACTGGGGTGTTTCTGAGCAGAGCTCAAGGGAGCCACTTTTATGAGGGACACGTTCTACTGACCAAGGACTCACCGTGTAGACACAACACAAAACCAGTTGCCCAGTTGCTAGAGGGAGATGTGACCACCCACGAGCAGCAGGTCCCAGGGAGGGAAAGCAAACCTGGGAGGTGAATAATTCACTCACTTTATTTGTGTGGCTGGAGGTGGACATGTTCCTCAGGGTGAAAGCAGCTTTGGGATGGCCACTGGTCGATTTCCGACTGATGGTTTTGCTCCTGCCCAGGATCACAGACATAAATCACAGATGGCAAAATAAAGCAACCAACCACTGTTGGAACAGCTGCCTCCCAAAATTCTGCAACTCAGGGAGGTCCTGTCTCCATTAACAGGTCGTTACCAGTCTTGCACTGCTGGGAGAGCAAGTCTGTCTTGAGATAAGGAGGGTAATGAAGTAGGTTGGTTGGTTCTGGGTTGGTTTTTTCTCAAATGATTTCAGGGGGGTGAGGCACGTGTGTGCCTGCACCTCTGCTGGGAGGGGAAATAAAGAGAGCACCTACATCCAGAGCTACGTTAGAGCCCTGCCAGCTTTTGCAGCCTGCTAGGAGAAGGTGGTGAGAAAGCTCCTCTGTACCAGCCCGCCTTCATCCTCACTTTCTGGGGTTGTCCTCTCCAACAGACTATTCCTGTCCTCTGCTCAGGAGAGAGCTGAGAGCCTCAGGTTGTCCCAGGAGTGAGGGCTTCATATTTCAACCAGGTCTCACACAGTGTGACACAGTCCCTGTGCACCACTAGCTCCCTCTGAACTATCCCTACCAGGCCAGATGCTTCTGGTGGCAAGAACATTTTTCAGGGTCTCACAGAGAAAAAAATTTCAGGTCTGCAAGAGAGAAAGGATTTAGGCCCCACTACCCACCTATATGCCTCCTGGCTCCTCCTCCTCATCTCCTTTATCCATTTATTCAGGAGCGAGTTCTCCCGCCGGTACCAACAGTAGGTGCTCATCATCAGGGCCGGGAGGAAGAGCAGGAAGATGAGCAGGAGGGTCATGACAATGGCTTCATGATCTGCCAGGGAAAAGCACAAGGACGTGTGGGGTTGGAAGAGCCATCAGCCTCTGGCCCATTCCTGACCACCCAGGCTGGAGACATCATTGCTGGTCACACCTCCAAAGAGGGAGCGGTACCACCTGGTGGGCTCTGATGGAAACGGGTGGCAACCAAGCAATCAGAGCTGGGCACACACTTGTGAGTCTTCCTGAACAGACCCAACCCATCTGGGAGCAGAGCTGTCAGCAGCTCTATCACCCATCTCCCACTCCTCATGGCAGTGCTCCAGCCCCACCAGCATCAGGAGGCACTGGACAAGAAGTCAGGACTCACTGTCGCGCTGCACGGGGCCGCTGTCCACGCTGCCACCCAGGCCTGGCTTCTCACAGTATGGGGGAGCCCAGCCAGCATCACAGTGGCAGTTCTTGTTGCTGTTGCAGACCTGAAGAGAGAGAAGGAGGGCTGGAGACCACAAGGGATGTATGGAAACCATGGTCTGCACGGTGGGGATGAGAGAAGATGGACAATGGCAGGAGTCAAAGCTGAAGGAACTTAAAACCCTGCCAATATTCACTCCTTGAATGTAGAACCACAGAATAGTTTGGGTTGAAGGGACCTTAAAGCTCATCCAGTTCCATCCCCCTGCATGGGCAGGGACACCTCCCACCAGCCCAGGTTGCTCCAGGCTCCATCCAACCTGCCCTTCAACACTGCCAGGGATGGGGCAGCCACAGCTTCTCTGGGCAACCTGGGCCAGGGTCTCACCACCCTCAGTGTAAAAACTCTCTATGTAACATCTAGTCTGAATCCCCACTCTTGGAGTTTAAAACCATCACCCCTTGTCCTATCACTACAGGCCCTGCTAAACAATTTGTCCCCAGACATCACTGGGATCACGTGTGTTGCCTTCCAGTGTGTTTGCAACGTGCAGAGATATTTTCTTGCTGATGCTTTTCTCCCCCTTCTCTTTGCCTTGAAGGCAGGTGTCCTACACACTCAGTTTTCACCTCGCTTACCTAGACAAGCCTGATGCCCTGAATACTTTGCATTAGGCCAGAAGTTTGTCAAACATCTTCCCCTTGGGATCTTCCCCTTAAACCATAGTCTTGTTGTTGCTTTATCTGACCAGGGTTCGTGTTCCACAGAGGCCAAAGTTTTGCAGCCTTTAAGCTTTGGAGGAGATGACTCTTTCTATTTGCTGAACCCCTGCCTTTTTGCAGTCCCAATTGTGTGTCTGACTCTTACTTTGCCCTCAGAGGGAACAGGCACCTGCACTGAGCTCTAAACACTCTCCAAGCTCCAGCTGGACCCTGATCCAAGTTTTGCAGATGGTCCTGACATCATGCATGATCTTCTTCCTCTCACTTGGCCACGGGGACACAAAGAGCTCAGCTCAGTCCCAGCCCTAGCTGAGGCACGTGAGATTTATGGAAAGCAGATGCCCACAGTGTTGCAAAGCTCATCCCTGTGGGAGAAACTTGGTTTTGCTGAAGAGTCTGTGCTCATCTCAGGAGCTTGCTGTGGGTCACGGGCAGGAACTCACCCCATGGCCGTTGCACTGGGAAACACACTTTTCCAGCTCAAAAAGGGAGGCATTTTGGCACCGTCGGTCTTTGCAAACCTGAGAGAGAGCCAAGAACCTGAGGTTAGGGAAACACACAGAGAGGGGGGACAGCAACCCTCTGGCTTCACAGATGGGAGTCCTCTGGAAGGATGTTTTCCACTGGAAAATGTAGATTGGCTACATCCTGGTGTTGCAGGTCAATGCATTTCATAGAATCACAGAATCCCACATTGGTTTGGGATGGAAGGACCTTAGAGATTATTTATTATTTATGGTTGGACTTGCTGATCTTCAAGGTCCCTTCCAACCAGGATGATTCTATGATTCTATGACGCTATAAGATCATCCAGTTCCAACCCCCTGCATGGGCAGGGACACCTCCCACCAGCCCAGGCTGCTCCAAGCCCCATCCAACCTGCCCTTCAACACTGCCAGGGATGGGGCAACCACAGCTTCCCTGGGCAACCTGGGCCAGGCTCTCACCACCCTCACAGCCCAGAATTTCTTCCTCATGTCTCACCTAAATCTACCTTTTTCCAGTTTAAAGCCATTTCACTCTGATTTTCAGCACAGCCCAAGAAACCTCTGCCACCCCCTGAGCCAGGATGGCTCAGCAGAGACCACCCACCACCACTCCCATCCCCTTCCCCTGACAACCCACCTGGCAGCTCCTGGACAAACCATTCCCCATCTGGCCCTAAAATGCACCCACCAAACCCAACGAGACTGGATTTCAAAACCAGGCATCCCTCCTCAGGGAAATCTCAACATTTTGGCCTTCCATCCCAAACTGGGATGAAAATGTCACCATTAAAATGCCAAGCAGCAAAGGCTGTATCTCCCCAACCAGCTCTGAGTGGCATCCATCCTTCTACTGTGTTTTCTACTACCCCTTTTCTCAGCTTGGTCTGTAAAGTACTTGGAGATGCAGAGGCTGTAAAAATAACCTACAGCAGCATCTGTTTGGGTCTGTTGTGTTATTCCTGACATTCCCCCTGGGAAACACTTTACACATGGGAAGAAGCTTCACCCATCGTGTCCTGGGACATGCAACTCTCGTTGGGGTTGTTCTTCTAGGCATTAAATCACTAAAAAAAGCATGGAGGCCAAGGAGAGGGTGTGGTGGCTGACACACCTGCATCTGGTGTGGAGCAATGTCTAGAAATGCCCTGGTTGAGATGTCACCAGGGGAATGTCTGCAGGTGTGGGAACCACATCCCGCGGCCTGGATGCAACACGGGAAAGAGCCAACACCTCCAGTAGAGCTGGGACAAGAGCCCAGGAGATGATCTCCTGGAGGAGGCCCGAGCCCCAGGAAAAAGTACTCACCATCCCATCTCCACATTTTGTCCCTGTCATCACCAGCCCAGGGTCAGAGAGGTCATCTTCATCATCCTTGGCAGTGTACATGTAGGTGCCCCGGCACTTCACCTCCCGCCCGTTGAAGCGGATGGTGGTGTCAATGGAGACAGTGTTGGTCCCCTGGGGCTTCTTGGCTGAGCTCTGGCACTGGATCTTGCCACACATTGCATCCCTAGGAGCAGGCCAACAGCCAAGGTGAGGGTACCAGCCACCCCACCCACCCTGTCTCACCTCCCTCTGAATTTATGGCCATGGGGGGGTTGTGGTGGGAGAGGCTCAGCAGGTGCAGAAAGGTCTTAGATACATCATGGACCAGACAGAGAAATGCTAGAGTGAACAGGCAGGGAGGGTCCCTCTAACATCCCTGGTCTGACTGGGGATACTGGAGGGGAAATGCTCCCCAAAGAGCACCTCCTGCTGAGCCTGGCTGTGGTTTTCCCTTCAGGCTGGGCTGGGAGGTGATGCACGGTGGGACAACCTCCCCATAGCAGCAGGGACTGAGCTCAGGAGGAAGGACCTACTGGCTTCCTCCAGTCCAGAACGGAGCTGGCCTGAGGGGTGATGCCAGAAGGCTGGAGTAGGACCAGTCACAGGACAGGGGTGGGCAGGGGGAAGCTGGGAGGAGGAGATGGGGCACCCAGGGCTGCACCCACCTCTTGTCACACTTCACGTAGCGCCCTTGGCTGTCCTTGCCGCAGTTGCCGTAGGTGTTGCCAGCCATGTTCACGTCCTGGAAACAGGCATCTGGGGCTGGCCAGGCACCTGCAGGGTGGGAGGAAGGGTCCCATGTGTGATATGGGACGAGGAGCCAGCAGGGAGAAATGCTGGAAGAGGGAGCAGCAGCTGGATGCTCCAGGAGGAACCGCCGCACAACATACAAACCAGAACCACTTTGGTCGCAAAAGCATTTGAAAACCATCAAGTCCAACCCTTCCCCCAGCCCTGCCAAGGCCACCACTGCTCCATGTCCCTCAGCACCACATCTACAGGGCTTGGAAACCCCTCCAGGGATGGGGATTCCACCCCTGCCCAGGGCCAGGGCCTGACAGCCCTTTCCAGGAAGAAATGGTTCCTCATATGCAATCGAAACCTCCCTGGTGCAATTTGAGGCCATTTCCTCTTGTTCTGTTGCTTATAACTTGGCACCCCCCTGGCTCCAACCTCCTCTCAGGCAGCTGCAGAGCCAGCAGGTCTCCCCTCAGCCTCCTTTGCTCCAGGCTGGACACCCCCAGCTTTCTCAGCCACTCCTTTTAGGTGCAGACACAACACTGAGACCCAACGTCCTTTCCTGCTCTGAAGAAGGGTCCAAGGAGGTAGGTCTGGGGCTGGTGGGACTCACCTGGTCCCCAGAGCTGGACACACTGCTGGTGGTGGGTCATGCACATCCCATCATTGCAGTAAGCCTCTCCATAGGCACAGGATGAGCCATCCAGCAGGTAGACATTGGCAGGGCAGTAGGCTGAGGCACCCGTGCAGTACTCAGGGAGGTCACAGGATCCTGCTGCTTCCCTGCAGATGGTCCCAGCCACCTTCAGCTGCCACATGAGGAAGGAGAAACATCAGCACTGGGCAGCAGAAAAGGGGTTGAGCCAGGATGGCTGCTGCCTCCTGGGACATCTTGGGGCCATCAACTATCTATAATGTCCTCTTTGGGGCTGTCAGGGTGTGAAGCCAAATTCCTGGGCTGGAGCAGAGCCACAAAGAATCATAGGGGTTGGAAGGGAGATGTGAAGGTCATCAAGTCAGGAGATCAAAGCAGCCAGCAGAGACTCTCCCACAAGACACAAGTTTAGGCATAACCTTCCTCATGTGGGGTTTGACCTTCTGGATAGGAGTCCCAAGGGAATGGTGGGGGCTGTATCCACTGCCTGGCCCGTGGGTGGAGAGGGTGGGGGACACAGTGGGGACCTTACCTTGCAGTTCTGGCAGCAGTCACCATGGGCACACTGAGCCCCTGCCTTCAGGGTGCAGTTGTGGGCATTGCAGCACGGGTTGGTGCACTCCTGCATGGGGAGAAGAAGACACCACCATGGTCAGTTGAGTCCATTCCTTCCCTATTGCTGCCCCCAGCCTCTTCTCCACCTACCACCACCTCACTCTTCTCGTTTTGCCCACAGGGAAACTGAGGCACTGGGAGAGTTGAGGAAGACCTGAGCACATGAGGGCAAAGCCAAGAAGGAAACCAGGCCCAGAGGGACTTTTGACATGGGCATGTAGAGTGATAGGACAAAGGGGCTTCAAACTGAAAGAGGGGAGATTGATGTGAGGTATTAGGGAGAAATTCTGGGCTGTGAGGGTGGGGAGACCCTGGCCCAGGCTGCCCAGGGAAGCTGTGGCTGCCCCATCCCTGGCAGTGTTGAAGGGCAGGTTGGATGGGGCTTGGAGCAGCCTGGGCTGGTGGGAGGTGTCCCTGCCCATGCAGGGGGGTGGAACTGGATGATCTTGAAGGTCCCTTCCAACCCAAACCAGTGTGGGATTCTGCGATTCTATGATTAAATGGATTTAGGAACGTGGGACTGGGAAGAGCCCCCTGGGATGGAGTCCCTGTGGTGATCAGCAACCCCTCTCCACATGGTCCACCCTCCTGCCACCCAGCAGCTCAGCTGAGCTGGGCAAAGGAGGCAGCACCCAGCACTGTACCTCCACCTCCCCGCAGTCGCAGTCTTCTCCTTCCTCCAGAAAGCCATTGCCACATTTCCTTCCCACCACCAGGTCCTTGGTGTCGGGCAGGTTGAAGAGACACATGCCACCTCCCTTCTGGAAGTAGTTCTCCAGCTGCCTCTTGCTGCAGGAGCTGAACACGCGGGGGAAGGGGTGTCTGCTCAGGGGACAGATGGGGAGGGATGGGAACCGGGGCGATCGGGGCCAGGAGAAGGTGGAAAACCACAGTCAGAGCTGGGAAATAAGGACACGGGCCAAGTGGCACAAACCCTTCCAAGAGCAGATGTCACCATCAGCCAGACACACCAAGACCATCAACACCTCCCCACCCCAGCTCACACAACTGACCAGCAACCAAGTGACACCACAAGGAACCCGAATATTCTTGGGCCACTCAAATTGTCATTCCATGATGTTCCACAATGGGATGAACAAGAAGAGCCACCATCAACCCTCCAGTAAGAAGCTTCTTGAGAGACTGGAGACCTCCATGGTGTGAACCTCCAAGCCTATGGAGCACCCACTGCCTGCAGGCTCTGCCAGGTTGATGCTGGTGTGGGTGTCACCTCTGTGCCTTGGTCCCCTGCACCTGGGACCCCACCGAGCTCCTAACCACAGGGTGGGCCTCCACATCCACTGTGACTACTGAGGATGTGCTAAATATGTGCCTGCTGCTGGGAAACACCCATGTGGGGGCTATTTAAATACCCCTGAGGCTGAGATGGAGGAAAACCCTCTGCACAAATAAAGAAAAATGGGGGAAAACCCAACAAAGCCCACAAAACAACTCATATTACATCACCCATGAGGCCTGAGTGGCAAGAAATCAATGAAAATACCATTTCTCTTTCCTTTTCCCTCAAGGAGCTGGAGAGAAACAGGGGTTTTCTAGAGAAGCTCTGAGGGTGGTTCCTCAGTCATTTTGCAGAAGTTGGTGGGGTTTTGTGTCGTGTACGAAAGGAGAAGGAGGAAGCAGAGAGGAAGAGCTGTGCACCACCCTCTGCTTCAGCCCTGGTTTCATTTCCTCCTGTCACTTCAAAAACAACTGTATTTTACAGGAGGACATCTCGTTTCTGAGGTGACACGGAGGGATTTTTTTCCTGAGAGTCATTTTGAAGTCTGGGGGGAAATATCTTGAGCTGCAGGGAAAGCTGCAAGTCCACGAGAGTCAGGGGAGGGTGAGCAAATAAATACACCCATGAACTGGTACCTGAACGTGTCAGTGGGGACAGGTTGAAGAGAGTCAAAAATGTGTTTCCTGCCCATGAGGGGAAACCAATATCTCAGCAAAAATGAGAAGGAAGAAGGGAGGAGTCACCTCGAAAATCTTTGCCTCCAGGGGTGAGCAAGGGACACAGCTGAGCTCCAGCAGCTGCTCTTGTTTTGCACCAGCTCTGGTGGGTGGGGGCAGGTTAATTAATTAGTAATAATTATTAGAGGGACTGAACGAAGAAGTGCACGACTTCCTCGTCCTGGCAAGCTGGTTCTTCTCCCCACCACAATCCACCCAAGCAGAGATTAAACCCCAGGGGGTCAGTGCCATGGTTTGGTGGCCCTGGGAGACACGGGAAAGCAGCCCCTGACAGCACCCCCTGGGTTTTTATGTAGTAATTTATTCATTGGAAGAGCTGGTGGGTTCAAATCATGAGAATGAACAGCTAATTTTCTACAGTGCAGGGAAATCTGGGATGAGGGTATTATCAGGAGCTGGAAAACCCAATGGGAGAAGGACCTTGGAAGGGGAAGAGGCACCAAACAGCTGAAATTCCTAAGGATTTGGGCTGAATTAAAGGGTAAAAGTAAAGGAAAACAAAGCCTGGAGGGATGGCAGAGTGTGTGGATCTAATGAGTGTCACTCTGGAGCATCCCACATCCAGATTTAGTGGAGCTGGGGGGAGGGATGTGAGCTCACCCCACTGCAGCCCCGTGGTGCCAAGAGTCCCCACCAGCATGACCAGGGACTGGGCAGCCCTTGGTCCTTCTGACCTTAGAATAAAGAATAATTTCACTGGGCTGAACTCTGGGTTAGCACAGGGAAGTGCCTTGGAGCCCTGTAATGCAAGGGCCATGGAGGTGCTCCCAGGGCTGGAGCAGCTCTGCTCTGCAGACAGGCTGGGAGAGTTGGGGTGTTCAGCCTGGAGAAGAGAAGGCTCCAGAGAGACCTTAGAGCACCTTCCAGTGCCTGAAGGGGCTCCAGGAAAGCTGGGGAGGGGCTTGGGACAAGGGCAGGGAGTGAGGACAAGGGGGATGGATTAAAACTGGAAGAGGGAGATTTAGGTTGGACATGGGGAAGAAACTCTTTGCTGTGAGGGTGGTGAGAGCCTGGCCCAGGTTGCCCAGAGAAGCTGTGGCTGCCCCATCCCTGGCAGTGTTGAAGGGCAGGTTGGATGGGGCTTGGAGCAGCCTGGGCTGGTGGGAGGTGTCCCTGCCCATGCAGGGGGGTTGGAACTGGATGATCTTTAAGGCCTCCTCCAACCCAACCCATTCTGCAATTCCACGATTCTATGCCAGTGCACCTTTGCAACTGGGGCACTGCCCCCACCGTGGTGCCTGGCAGGACAGGATCCCTTCCCACTCCCCAGCCAAACAGCACCCAAACCCTCCTGGGGGGGGTTGAAGGGCCACGTCTTGTCCCCACCACCACTTACCCAGTGGCTGCTGCCATGACACAGCCTCCTTGCTCCGGGGTGGCCTCCACACAACAGCCACTGCTGTCGTGGCTCATGCCAAAATTGTGGCCAATTTCGTGGGCCCTGGTGGCAGCTGCTCCAACAGGCTGCTCCGAGTGGTCCTGCACAGGGGAATGGGGATGTATCAGCACAGCAGCCAGGAGTGATGGAGAGGGATTGATCCCACAGCAGGGAATGGGGCTGGGCTGATGAATGGAGCACAACATCTCTGGGATGGCAACCAGAGCCCGTGAGAGGAAGGGAGAGAGGGATGGAGGAGGATTCGTGGAAGAAGTGGGGTTTGGTGTCCTGAAAAAGCCCCTCGTGAGACTGTTGGGGAGCTCTTTTGGTGGAGCCAACTGCTGAAAACATGAGGCCTTGGAAGGCACAGCCCAAACCCCAGGAAGCTTGTAACCCCACAGCACCCCCCTGCCTGGGCACCGCGGGTCACCAGGGCCACCACCGCCCCACCAGGAGGAGGAGAAGAGTCATCTTGGAGCAGAGATGAACCCTACAAATCCAGGGGGAAAAACCAGAGCACAAGCAGGAGCTGTTCAATACAAGGGAGAGAAGCAACACAGGAGATCCCAACGCTGCTGCTGGGATGCACAGGGGTGGGAGGTCTCAAAACCAGCCCCTCTCACCCTCCTTAGTGCTCGGCCAACACCTGAGAGGGGCAGAGGGCGACGAGCATGGCTGGTTGCTCTCAGGCTGCACCCCAGGACCAACCTCATACAGCTGCTCCAAGAATCTGGGTGAAGAACCCCAGCAAGCCAAGGTGGTCCCAGGGTCCCCCAGCCTGGGAGAAGGAGCAGCAGGGACCTCCAACCCCCCTCCCTCTTACCACGCTGACGCCCCCAGAGTTATCCAGGCTACACATCCCCTCCAGCGGGGCCATGCCAATGGTTGTCCCTCTGAAGGTCTTCCCTCTGCCCGAGAAGGAGAAGGGAGGGCCAGTTAGCACCCGGGGGGGGGCTTGGAGCCCCCGAGCTGGGCTGGGAGGCCCCAGCATCCCTGGTGGGTGCCCGGGGGGGTGCTCACGTCAGCAGCTGGGCGTTGTCGTGTTTCCTGCGCGCCCTCAGTGCCTTCTTCCACTGCAGGAAGGACCAGAGCGTGGCGTTGGCATCACTGGTCACAGCACACTGGTCCCTCTCCGTCCACACCTCCAGGCCAATCAGGGCCACCTTGATGTGCAGCGACCTGTAGAACTGCAGGGAGGAAGGGGGGATGGATGGGGACTGGCACCTGCTGTTGGTCCCCCAGCCCCGTCGCTGTTCAGCCGGGGGGTCCCCGTGCTGGACCTCCAGCTGGGTGACTCAGGGACACACTTGTCCACCCACAAGCTTGTACAGGAGGCAGTCAGGGTGGCACGAGGGCCTCCACCAGCTGACAACACCTGAACTTTTGTCAAGGAAGCCACCATTGATCTCCACCCAGCAAGACCCAGCAGGTGCTTCGTTGCTGCAGCTCAGCCAAAGCGTTTTCCACCACGTGCTCGCATCTGCCACCTAAACTCCTATCCCTAGTGACATGGGGACAGCCCCTGAGGGCCACCACCAGGCTGGTCCTGGAGCTCCCGTAGTTCTACACGCACTGGGAATGGTGGAGGTGGCCACAAGGTCCTTCTCACCAGCCATTACCTTGTCCACATAGTTGGCGATCTCCACGATGCGCTGCTTGGTGTGACCCAGGTTGAGGTTCTGGTTCCTGTACTGCAGAGAAACGAGGAAGGGTCACCACAGGAAGAGCCAGAAGAAGGGAGGGGTTCAGAGAGGGGTCCCAGCTTCTCAGCAGGGGACAAGTTTCCACCCTGCACGGCGCTCACCAGTGTGTGATCAGCAACAATGAAGAGCTCCATGTACTTCATGGTCCTCCAGGCATCTCGTTTCATCTGCAAGACAGACAGCAAGGTTCAGAGGGGTGGAGGGCAGCCCATGGCTCCAGGCATCTCAGGCCTCCCAGATACTGCAGAGCTGCTCAGGAAGGACAGCTGGGAGGGGAAACTGAGGCACAAGACGACAAGGAACATTTGAGTGGCTCCAGTGCAAATTCCAATCATCAAATCATTTTGGTTGGTCCAAATTATCCACATGGCTTTGAAATCCCTCCAGGGATGGGGACTCCCCCCCTGCCCTGGGCAGCCTGGGCCAGGCCCTGACAGCCCTTTCAGTGAGAAGTTTCTTCTAATATCCAATCCAAACCTCCCCTGGCACAACTTGAGGCCGTTCCCTCTTGTCCCAGGGCTTGTTCCTGGGGAGCAGAGCCCGACCCCCCTGGCTCCAACCTCCTCTCAGCAGCTGCAGAGCCAGCAGGTCTCCCCTCAGCTCCTTTGCTCCAGGCTGGACACCCCCAGCTCCCTCAGCTGCTCCTGCTCACCCTTGTGCTCCAGCCCCTTCCCCAGCTCCCTTGCCTTTCTCTGGACACACTCCAGCCCCTCCGTGTCCCTCTTGTCCTGAGGGGCCCAGAACTGACTCCAGTACCAGTGTCACCTCCCATCGCATCCCACAACTTCCAGTGCAGTCAGAACCCAACTCACACCTTCTCCCTTTGTCTCCTGCCTGCACTCAAACCAAGTGAGCTGCCCGTGCAGACCCCTGACGTTCCCACCTGCCTGCACAACCCTGCCCAGAAGCCAGGGTGATGGACACCCCACCACCACGACCTGCAGGGACCCAGCAGGGGTGGCAGACAGCCCCACTCCCAGCTCTCCCCCAGCAATGGACCCCAGGATGGATTCACCTGGCGATGGACGGGCCTGAAGAGCCGAGCGATGTCTCCAATGGTGCTGCCAAAGTCACCGTGGCCACAGGTCCCACCTTGGATGGGCAAATGCTCTGCTCGGTGGATGAGGTGGTGGCCTGGGTCCCGAGGGGTCTCCAGGGGCTTCAGGTAGTAGCTGAGGTTGCTGCTCAGCACTATCAGTCCCCTGGCAATGGAGAAAAGACACTGATGGCTCCTGTGGTGCTTTCAGCACCTGCTGAGGCCCCTCACGCTCAATGCACCTCAGCTTGGTCCACACCCAGGATGGGGGCAGTGACAAGAGGTGAGTACAGCCCCACGAGCTCATGTCCCCAAGATGAAAACCTCTGTGTGGGTCAGAACAGCTGAATGGTTGGCAGCAGGTGGTTGCAATGGGGTTCAGGGGTACCTGCTGTGGGGTGCAGGGTCTCGCCTCCTCCAGAGATGAATTGCCTTGAGGGCAGCTCATGCTGCCAGGAAAACAGCATCTCCCCCCTCCTGCCAACCCCCAGGGTTGGGTGAAGGGCAGGAGAAGGGGAACAATGGAAAATCAGCCCCATGAAGCTTCTAAAGCTGGGCTTGGAAGACCATGAGTGCTGCTCTGGGAGGGCCATAGAATCATGGAGTTTGGGTGGGAAGGGGCCTTCAAGATCATCCAGTTCCAACCCCCCCTGCATGGGCAGGGACACCTCCCACCAGCCCAGGCTGCTCCAAGCCCCATCCAACCTGCCCTTCAACACTGCCAGGGATGGGGCAGCCACAGCTTCTCTGGGCAACCTGGGCCAGGGTCTCACCACCCTCACAGCAAAGAATTCCCTCCTCATATCTCACCTAAACCTCCCCTCTTCCAGCTTCAAGCCATGACCCTTTGCCTTAGCACTACATGCCCTTATAAGAAGTCTCCAGCGACCCCAGAAAGGGTCCCAGCAGAGGAGCAGGGGCAGCCAGACCCACCCCTCTCTGTCAGCCCCACATGCCCCCCCAACCCCACAGGTACCTGATTCCTGAGCAGGTGCTGAGGACAACCCAGGAGCTGCCGTAGCCCCGGACGTGCCCATGGTAATAGCAGTGCTCCTGGAAAAGAGGTGACAGAGACCTCGATTAAGAACCCACCCCACGGGGCTGTGGGCAACAAACCAACCCCCCCACGTGCTCTCTCCTTCCCAAAAAACAACCCACCCAGCCCACGGGTGTCCCTGTGCCCGCGGGGATGGGAAGGGATGGACGGAGCTGGGAAGCCGCTGGCTCCGGGAGGTCAGCTGGGGACACAGACAGCCCCGACAGGCTGGAAAGGTGACAAATGGCTTGGTGAGGGGGACGTGGGGAGAGCAGGGGGGTTGGTCCAGCCTGGCGCTGCCT